AATGGGGAAAATCCTGATTTCAGTACAACACTATTAGCAAGTGACTCTCTTCTTGTAGCAAGTCTTGTGCCAGACTTTTTGTATACTGCTTTCTAGAGTAGCATTTCTATGATTATTAATGATTCATATAATTGCTCTAATATTACTCTTTCTATTGGAGAAGACATGGTATTAATTGGAGAGTTCATGGTCCTAAATAGTGTAACAGCACAACGAGGGAGGAAGCGTGAGGAACTGTGCCCTGAGGAAAGGTGATGTGCAGGGGTGGGATGATTGCAACAAGCAGTCTTAGACGCAGGTTGGTGGTGACTTTATTCGATTAATTTAAATTTTAAAATAACTTCAATATCAGTCTTGACTCATTGTTTGGAGTATCACTGTACAAAAGTACTGATGAAAAATGAGAGGAATTTGAGTAAACAGAGAAGTAATGAACTCATAAGCCAATTTGTTGCTGCCCATCTTACTTAACATCTTTACCTCTAGCAAGAGAAATAAAGGGTTCAGACCTGCTTTTCTTGTGCCCCAAAATCAGTCCAGGAAGGAGAGCAGGATTAGGACCATTGTTGTGGTTTAACCTGGCAGGCAGCTGAAACAACCACACAGCCATTTGCTCACTGCCCCCCTCCCCTCAGTGGCTGTCGGTCTTTATAGCCATACATTTATTTTTTCATATAGCAGTTGCTTAAATCTAATCTGTAACTTGGACTAATATGCAATCATACTCACAAGTCTTTCTGAAGTATAATCAAATGTGGAAGTCTTTTTATACCTGAGGTATACTGCAATTAAAGTAGGATTTTGTGGACTAATTAAGACTGCAATGCTATAGTGAATCTTGCAAATAATTTAGACTCATAGAGTGGTTTGGGTTGGAAGGCACCTTAAAGATCATCTAGTTCCAACCCCCGCTGCTGCGGGCAGGGACACCCTCCACTAGACCACATTGCCCAAAGAACCCGGCTCTGAAACACTGCCAGGGATGGGCCATCCACAGCCTCTCTGGGCAACCTGTGCCAGGGCCTCAGCACCCTCACAATCAAGAACTTCTTCCTAATACCTAATCTAAATCGACTCTCCTTCAGCTGAAGGCCATTACCCCTTGTCCTGTCACTCCGTGAGCATGGACCATGCCAGATACATCAGCTACGAGCCTGGGATGCAGCATACAACAATCAACAGCACATGCCATCTCCCCTGCCCTGAGAGACTGTTATGACAGATGGAGCCCAAAGGCATGAACTAAATGAACTCAACGGACATTTTAGAGGGATGGTCCACAGACTAAGGGAATGGTATCTGTGTGTACAAATCAGAAGACAGGGAAAGTGATGTTGATTAATTGGAATGTACTGGGAAGTATAGGACTGGGGCATGACATAGATGGTATGGAATAAGGGGTGGATACTGTCCTGGTTTCAGCTGGGATAGAGTTAATTATCTTTCTATTAGCTGATATAGTGCTGTGTTTTAGATTTAGTATGAGAACAGTGTGGATAACACAGAGATGGTTTTAGTTGTTGCCAGGTAGTTGTAGTGCCTACGCTAAGTCAAGGACTTTTCAGCTTCTCAGGCCCTGCCAGGTGCACAAGAAGCTGGAGAGCACAGCCAGGA